TTCAAAATCTCCCCTCCCCCTACCGCATCCCAAAACCAGTCCAGCTCGTCCCTGCCTCCCTAACCTGTTCTTCCTCCCACCTATCCCCTCCTCCCACCTCAAGCCACACCCCCATCTCCTACCGACTAACCTCATCCCGCCCCCTTGACCTGTCCGTCCTCCCTGGACTGACCTATCCCCTTCCTAACTCCCCACCTACACTCACCTTTACTGGCTCCATCCCCGCCTCTTCGACCTGTTTGTTTCCTCTCCACCTATCCTCTCCTCTAGCCATCTTCTATCTGCCTCCCACTCTCTCCCTATTTATTTCAGAACCCCCTTCCCCTCCCCCTTTTCTGATGAAGGGTCTAGGCCCGAAACATCAGCCTTTCTGCTCCTATGATGCTGCTTGGCCTGCTGTGTTCATCCAGCCCTGCACCTTGTTGTCTCGGATTCTCCAGCATCTGCACTTCCTACTACCTCTGCAGATTTATCTTGTCTGATTTCATATGTTTTTCAATGTGAATAATATATATCCCCTTGGGCTATGGCCCTTCATTCAAATTCGTAACCAGCTGAACCAACAAACTCTTGCAATAAAAGATACTTACCGAGTTTGGGAAGGCAAATTCAAACTTGACAAAGGCATCAAGATCATTCGGTGCAATACCTGAAGAGAATAATTATCTGTAGTTATTATAGAGGTTAGGTTCAGCAACAGAGGTCAAAATTTAAAAAAAAAACCATTAATTAGGCAGCTCATACCAAGCCCATTAAGAGTGGGACACACTAGAAAAAACAACCAAAAGAACTGCGGATGCTGTAAATCAGGAACAAAAACAAAGTTGCTGGAAAAGCTCAGAATTCTGAGGAAGGGTCACCGGACCCGAAACGTTAACTCTGATTTCTCCTCCACAGATGCTGCAGGACACACTAGAAAGATTGGCTGTTCACAACATAACACTTGAAGGAAAATAACAGTGTGGAGCTGGAGGAACACAGCAGGCCAGGCAGCATCAGAGCAGTCTCAGGATGCTGCCTGGCCTGATGTGTTCCTCCAGGTCCACAGGGTGTTATCTCAGACTCCAGCATCGGCAGTTCTTAGTTTTGCCGCTTGAAGGAAAATGGTGTGTGAAAGTGAGCATCTCTCTCTACTAATGCAATGTGGAGAAGAATTTACGCAAAACACATTTCTCAAACTACAGTAAATCTGCTGGGATTGCATGTGTTGTGTTATTCAGACGGGAAGGTCTCCACCTTAAAAGCTCCACAAACAGCCTTGTTTGGAAGCAAAGTGAGCTGGAAGGAAGGTAGAATGAGGGAGAGTGGGGGTGGAAACCAGTTGGCACTGAACCGAAAAAGACAAGCAACTACGTAATGGAAAACAAACTCTGCTGCTGGCTCTCTGTTAGACCAGCAGCTGAAACAAACCATAGCTTCATGTGGAGACATGTCTTACTCTCATACCCCAGTAAGGGCCTCTCTACATCTAGAGCAGGTAACAGGATTGGAAATTTAGCAGCACATTTAATTACCTGAAGGAGCAGGCAGGTTGATTCCTTTGACAATGTGAAGGACCATGTCACTGTTTGAGAGATGGGGAAAAATCCTGGAATAAAGCAAATATCGACATTAAGTTGTATCGGTGCATCAGTCATGCTCCACATTAAGAAGCGACTGTATAATGTGGGCAGACACTCCAGTATGGTAATACTGCCATTGGAAAAGAAATGGTAAACTGACACACTGACTGCCTCTCCCAGAAGCTCAGGCAGACAACAAAGATTCCATGACTTTAAACATAGGGAGTAATAGGGAATAATCATAGGGAGTCATGGCCAACATTTCCACCTCAAATCAGCAAAACGAATAAAAAAAAAATTGACTCCTCCATTATTTAAAGTGGACTGCATGCAAAGAATAATTGCCAATGTTAGCAACTACTGCAATCCAGAAAATAAAATTCTTCAATGCCGCATTTAATTGTTGAACCTATAGATTAAAAACATTAGATTTATATTTTACAGTAACTAAAATGCAAACATCAGTATTTCTAATGCCACACGAGTGTTCTTCAATGTTAAGATTTCAAATATACAGCTGACCTAAATCTGCCCTCCGCACTCTAAGTTCCAGCATAATGTTTACACTACACAAGTATGTAACTGTATCCTCTTTACAAAGACTATACAGCACTGGGAAGAAGGGAAGGTTGGGGCTAGATTTAAGGAATCAAAATGGGGGGAAAAAAAAAGGACTTGTAATGATGCATCACTTGATCAAGTAGCTGAGAAACAATTCAAGACACTCAAACTGCAGTCACTGCTGAAAGCAAATTCAGCACCAGCAGCAAGGGGATAAATAAGGGAGGAATATTGGTCAGGGTACCAGGAGAATTGCTCCTCTTTATATAGTATTGGCTGATATTTAGCATCCTCCTAAACCACAGATTTGTCAAACCATGGTTTGACAACATATTCAAAATACAAACTCTCTACTGACTGCACTCATGTCAGGTCAAGTCAGATTATTTATCCAAGTTCTGAAGTACGATTCATTTGTCTAACTTAATTTAGAATGGCTAAGCCACCATCACTCAGATAATGTAATTTCATGAAGCTGTTAAGCATCGCAAGCAAATACTACTCAGTTGTCCTACAAAGGTTTTTTAAACTTTATATGAAAGCAAAACTTAAACGATTGCCATAGCTGAACAAACTAATGTACACCTCTATAGCTTATACTCACTGTACTACTTGAAAGGTTCTCTCCTCATAATGATACTTAGGTAGAGGACAGCCTTGGGCATGTGCCTGCTTCAGAATCTCGATGTTCTTTTTGCAATCCTCCGCCATTTTCTCAAATCTTAAGACACAAGCATATGCACACACAATGAAATTATTAAAACAGAATTAAATCTTTTGACATAAACAATGCTGTTTATTGCTTACTTACTACAAGGAACCATAACTCACTCTTATACAACTTTTAAGTTACTTAAATCAGTAAAGTTTCAATTTGCTTCTGCCTGTCTGTCATGGCTTTGAAGAGTCAACATTCCAGCCCCAACACTAATCACAGACAAGGGCGATATATTTTAGAAAAAAATTTCAGCATCACACAGATAGCTTTTGACAAAAATGTGAAAAAATAAAGCAGTGACAGTTTGGAGTCACACTGATGAAAACAAAGTAAACCATCAAGACTGCTTAACCTTTTGCTAAATATTCAAAAGATGCAAGGCTTCTTGATTTACTTGATTCATTCCCAATACCTTCATATCAAAAATGACCTGTGAAATTTAGGTAAACAATATTAAATGCTCCAACCAGGACTGCTTCTGAAAACCAGGAATATTCAATTCCAGAAATCGAGCATGAAATCACAAATTCTCCAGCTGAAGTGCACTGTATCCAGGATCTAATTTCTCATTTGTTAGACATTCTGAATACGCTGCAATGTTGAAAATGTGAAAATACTGCAGTAACACACTGAGAAATGAAAAGCAAGGAGCCAAAAGATAATAGTATTGTTAAACAAAACAAAAACTGATCTAGTTTGTCAAGAAGAGTCCAGATTCATTAAGTTTTGGCAATTCGAACATCTTATCTCAGGTGAAAATGCAAAACAGAGGAAATCTCACTATTTTTGGGACATGGAAAAAAGTTAAATCTAGGCAGCCAGGGTTTCAATTCCTGACCCAGCCCATAGCAATTCACCTGAGAGCAAATGGTTGTGTTGTTTTCCCATCCTTGGACAAGGATACAAGCTGGCATGCTTAGAAAAATTCTTAGAAAAAGAAGTTTGCCCATTGTTCACAGCTTGATTGGAACTGCAATATTAATGGATATCTTTTCATCTCACTCCAGATGACCAAAGAAAGATGTTCCACATCGCATTGTCAAAGATTTAAATCAGTACTCACTTGGTGGTCTCTGACACGCTTCCAAGATGTGTGTATTGCTTGGAGTACTCCATACATGTCTATGGAAAGATAGATAATACAAGACCATTTGTAAGCTAGATACTTCCAACTTCAGTAAACACGTTTCTAATTGTACTTACAGTGAGTACAATTGTAGCAGGCTATATTTCTGAAAGAGGCACAAAATTTCTGCAGGCCACAAGGCAATGTCTGAACTGGCTCCAAATATTTCAATAAATTAGCACAGAACTTTCTTCGTTTGTGATAATGTGGCTTCAACACTTGTACATCGCTGTTATAATGCATGGTTGCAGGATAAAGTCTCTGAAAATTTGTTCTGGCTACAATCACCAGATAAGTTAGCTCCAATGCTGATGTAGAAACATTAAAATTTGTTCAAATGCTTAAGAGTTAGTACAGCATGGAAACAGATCCTTCGGTCCAACTCGTCTATGCCAACCAAGTTTTGAACTAAACTAGTCCCACTTCCCTGCATTTGGCCCACATCCGTCTAAACCATTCCTATTGATATACCTATCCAATTGTCTAAATGTTGTAACTGTACCTGCATCCACCACATCCTCTGACAACTCACTTTACACAGGAAGTTTAAATAAAATTTACATTTATTGTACCGATACCAAATATCAATGCGAAAATTTATCATTTCTTACCACACCTCCCCCACAATTATTAATCACATCCATCACTTCTACTAAACATTACGATGATAGTATGAGGCACACAGTCTGGTCACTTGCTTTTCTTCCTCATAGCAACAAGGTGATTTGGTCAGTTTTGCACAGACATGCTTTGTTTTACCTTTTTATCCCTCCCTTTCCTGCTCCTCAAAACTTTTCACAGGCTCTGGTTCCCATTCATGTCAGGTACCCTCTACTCCCTGACCCAGGTATTCACATGACCATTGCCAAATTACTTAATCATGGGGGTGTGGGATGTGAAGAAGCACAGCTCTGGTCACTACTGTCCTCTCAAACTGCTGCCCAGCAGTGGTTTCTGGGAGATCTGGTCTAGTCTTTCCTCAACTTCACGGGTGCAGAACACTGGGATAAACTGCAGCATCAATTACTGCACTGGATGAGATCACCTTTCCCTGACCTCTTTAATACCTTGTAAACTTCCAACCAGGACATCCCTTAACCGTCAAAATTTCAGAGAATGGAACGCTAATTTCTTTAATTTCTCATCGTAACTCAATCCTTGGAATCCATACTGAACATTCCAAAATTACAAAATACTAGAGTTTCGCAGAGTCTGCATGTTAATCTTGACATTTCCGAGGAACTGATAGTCTAATACAACTAATATGACAAGGAACAAAATCCTGAATATGGGGAGAATAAAAGCCCTGAAATTTAGAGAAATTAAAATGGGTGCAAAGTGAACTTCATGTCAGAAACCTTGTTCACAAAGTCACTTAGAATTACTTAAATAACACAACAGCTACTTCCTTTATGATCATAAAATTTCATAACAACTGGAAATGCTGAACACAGCTTTTGCTCCAACTCTACATTACTAAGAATGTGTGAATTTACCTCATATTGCTGTTTCAACACCTCCATTAGCTGATGGTATTGCTGTGCAGTTTTCTGGGGTACGTGTACTCCTCGATTCTGCACTAGCACAAAGTCCTCCTCATTTTCCGGGGGCGCAGGCACCTACAAATTAATGAAAGTCATGAATCATTTGCTTTTCAAATGGTTTGCCATCAGCCTAGCAGATGCAGTAAGCATATGTGCCAATCTGGCACTATGAATCACCACCTATCCTCTCTATCTCAATGTCAGCATGGGCATTGTTAGCAGACGCATTTATATGACACTGAAGTCTGGCTGCCACTAGAAACATTTGACGAGCTAACCAACTTACTTGACATTTGCTTGGTCTCAACAGCATGAGGTGTTGGTCATTCGCATAAAGTTCCAGGTTTCTGAATTTATAAACCAAAGCCAGGATGGCTGTGCGTTAAATGTTCACTGATTCATGCTGTTAGCGTATTTGCATGAAAGTTTGGATGTGAAGCTTCCACGTTGAATAAGCCTACTTATACTTTATAAGGGCAATCTTTGACTTGATTGTCTTCTCGTGTCAATCACAGACTTGTTCTTCTTCTCAAAGATGTCATCACCTGCCTAGCTCCATACCCAATCCACCAAAGCTTCCTGTCTGGTTAATTTCAGCTCATCACACGCTCGTCTTTCAAAGACACTATCTTGGCCAAATCACAATAGCAACTTTTGTGACTGTTCTCCATTGTTCCTCTGCCCTCCTGTTTTCTCTCTCCATTTGTCAATGTTTTGCGATTTCCCCAGTGTGGTTCCATTCGAAGCTCAAGGCAACCAGCACATCAATAACAATGCCTCTTCGCTGCCCTAGCTACATTTCGTATGCATGTGGAGTCCCTCAGGGACATACCCTTTGGTCCCTTCACTTTGTCATATCAAGATTTCTTCCAAGTGGCACCATGCACAAACAGAGAAACCGATCCTCTAAGTATGCCAAGGAGACTGAACTCTACGTATCTAACATCCCGTCAACTTCTTGTATGTTCCAATTTCCTGTCTAAACACTGAATCAAAATCTTCTCCAACTGACCGTCAGAAAGACAACCCATTTCTTTCAGCCACCTGCCCCATGAAACTCAAGCCTTGTCCCAGACTTCAAGTATTCCCTGGGCTCACTCAACCCGAATCGTGTTTTGTACAACCCAGGCCTCAGATTTGTCCTATCCTCAAAGCTACGTGCTTCCACCTCCACAATATTTGCCACACCCATCCCACATCACTCCCAGAAAAAAATGAAGGAAAACAACTGCAATTACAGAAAGCAAAGGGGCTAGAAAGACTTGGCAGATCTGGCAGCATCTGTGCAGAAAGAAAAACCGAGTTAACCAGAGTTTCTCCAGCACTTGCTGTGATTTTTATTTCAGATGTCCAATATCCACACCACAGTATTTTGCTTTTGATGAACTGCATTTATGCAGTGCCTTTAATTATCTAAAGATACAAATGAGAATGACAGTAAATTCAGTGCCTCTGAAGGTGTTTTGCTCACAGAAAACAGACTAGCTGATTTGCACTTAGCAAGGTCCACCAATGTGATAATGAACAGTTATATTTAGTGATGTTGATTGAGATAAATATTGATCGAGAGATAAACATTTATAAGAATGCTGCGACTGAAGCCTTTTTCCACTCTTCCACACCTTCCTAAATCTTTACTCCTCCTCTCCAAGTTTAAGATTTGCCAAGGACCCAACATGTTGGTGAGGCACAGTCCATAAGTTTATCATTCTTATTTCCTTCTCATGCCTCTCTCTTTCTCCCCCCACCCCCTTCCCCAAGTGTTTTGTAATCTGGAGCATTTATAAAAATGAAACAAAACAAGCTGTTGTGGTTGTTGTTGTTGAACTGTTTAGACTCGATGTCAGTGACAATTCAAAAAGGGTATTGAAGGGCAAACACAATCACTGGAATTGTAGCTTGGCAAGAGGAAACAAAAAATTATTTAATTACTAAACAAAAGTGAAAAATCTGCTGAAAATCAAGAGCATTTGAGTTCCCAATTCATTTCCAACTCCAAAGTAGTCTAAAATGACAGTGCAAGACATCAAGTTACATTAAAGGTTCATTTTTGGAGATAACACACTTATTTGCATTTCAGCTTTCTTGTAAAACCCTTCATTCATGTCTCCAGTGCTTCGTGGTTGAGAATGTAGCAGGAATAATTGTTTTAAAAAAGATGATTCAGTGGAACAGGATGTTTATTATCTGATCAAACAAAGATCACAGCATTTGCTCTGATATTGAAGATATTGAGCTGGGCGTTGTTTTGTCAGAACGCAGCTCTGCCAAAGCTACATCAGCCATGATTCAGTGAGGCAAACCCTGCCCTCAGAGTCAGGATGTTGCGGGCTCAAAGTCCACTCCAGACATTTGAACGTAATCCAGGCCAATACCCAGCACAGCACATGAGGAGCACTACCCTGTTGGAAGTATTGTCTTTGAGGCAAGATGTGAAATCAAGGCCCCCTTGCTCTTTCAGGTAGCACAAAAAGATCCAACAGCACTACTTCAAAAGAAAAGGGATGATGGTACTATTGTCCCCTAATCAACACCACATTTAAAACAAAAGTGAATTGCTGTCTGAGAGAGAACTTGGTGTGCAAATCAGTTCAGGCATTTCCTGCTTTACAACAATAATGACTACATTAAAAACAAAGTGTTTCATTGGCCAGAAAATATTCAAGGACATCTTGTGGTTATACTGGTATGATATAAAGTGTTCCTTTCAACAGAAAGGAAACTGTGCAGTTACACACGGGCGCTTAGTCAAAAAGAAAAAAAGGCAATTCACAAAGAAAGTTCTTTTACCTTGGTAATATCTACAGGTAGCCCACCCTTGGCTGCCTCAATCATGGGGTCCAAGCCTTTTGCCTGCCGAAGATATAGTTTTGCTCCTTCAATATCATTCTTCTGCTTTGTACGGAGTGCTGCCTGCATGAATTGTTTCTTCCTGTTCTGCAAGAATTCCAACTGCTGTTGAGCTACACGTTGAAATAAAGAGATGAAAGAGCAGGTGAAGAATGAGGGGGGTCTTGTGGCACAGTGGCAGGGTCCCTACCTGAGCTGTAAGGGTGTAATAAAGAGATGCAAGGGGATTAGCCCAAACAAATTTGACGTGTTCCAATGGGCTGTAATTAGAGGCGCAGCCTTATGCCACACTGACTACAGAAACAAGAAGCTACAGTGTTCAACCTTCAGTCTGTGCTTAGTTCCATAAAAGCAATCCTAGGTGACAGGCAAGTCTTGCAAATTGGCCTCAGTATGCCTGGGGCAATACAGGGGTGTGGAAGGGGAAAAGCGAGTTGGGTCTCTTGAACGTAACCTTAGCCATAAGATGTGGATATCTGGATCAAACTTGAGTGAGATGCCTTCCTTAATTAAATGTTGGCGGACCTTGGGACTATGTTTACAGGTGAACAATGAGGGGGTCTTGTGGCATAGTGGTAGTGTCCCTACCAGAGTCAGATGGTCTGGGTTCATGTCTCACCTATTCTAGAGGTGTGCCAAAAAACATTCAAACTGGCTGATTATAAAACTCTTCACGTGAAGACTGGCCATTTAGGCAACATACCAAGGGACTGACAGTACCTCAAGTAACACCCACGGGACACTGAGGATATTTTCTCTTCCCTTCAACATTCCAGGAATGGTGTTTAAAACTTTGTGCCACCATTAGTCGGTCAACAGTCATCAAAATGAGTGCTTCAGACAAACTAGTTTAGATTGGTTTGCAGTGTATATTTTAAGCTTTAGATTTGGCTATTCTCCACCTGTTACCTTTGCTGGACATCTGTTTTTTTGCTGGATTCCCAGTGTTAGTGGGGACTGCTGGTGGAGCTCCTGAGGCTGAAGTCCTGGGCCGCGCTTGTGGTGCAGCTCTCTGAGCAGGTGCCTGCTGTAATGGCTTAAAGAAAATTATTGGAGGGAAAACAAATCTTAAAGTTACACATGATTTTATCTTTGCAAAACAAATTGACATGGCTCAAATGTTTCATTAAATGCAGGAAATAAATAAAAAGAACAAAAATAAACTCAATTCTGGATTTTGAGGAGCCTTAAGAATTCATTTAAGTAAAAAAAAAGACAATAAAGATGCAAACTTCAAAAATCAAAAGGACAATAACTTTCCCTTAAACTGATAGGCCAAGCAGATTTTATTGGCTTTTTCTGCTCAGGGGTCTCATTTCAAATCCATATAAAGCTGGATCACATTATTCTGCTGCCTGGTGGAGGCTTTATCAAAATGCAAACAAAGTGCTGGAGAAACTCAGCAGGTCTAGCAGCATCTGTGGAGAAAGAAACAGATTTAACACAGAGTCCAATGTAACTCTTCTTTAGAATGGCAAGGGACAGAAACTGAACACAAGAGAAAGATCTCAGTCTTTAACTTACTGAATAGAATCATAGAATCCCTAGAGTGTGGAAACCGACCCCCTGAAGAGCATCCTGCCCAGACCCAGAGCCCCAACCAGATCCCATAAATCCCCATTTACAACGGCAAAGCACATGCCTGGACACTACGGACAATCTAGCATGGTCAATCAACCTAACCTGCACATCTTTGGACTGTGGGAAGAAATCAGAGCACCTGGAGGAAAACCAGGCAGACACAGGGAGAATATGCAAACTCCACACAATCAGTTGCCCAAGGGCAGAATCAAACCCGGGACTCTAGCACTGTGAGACAGCACTGCTAACCATAGCATCACTGTGCCAACCTATAGGGTGGTATAGGAATACTGTGGCAATATTTATCACATTTTCCTTCTGTTGAAACTGCTCCTTCTTACGTCCCTGATTATTCTAAATCCTTTGCCAAGGTGCTTACACAACTCTGCTGCCTCTCTCCAACTTTGTACTCTCATGAAAGAGCACATTTTGTTGGCGAGACAAGGCAATTTCTTTGTGGAAGGTCTTGAAGTGTACAGAGGGAACGCACATTGTGCATTACTGCATAACGCATCTAGAAAGGAAGCTTTGGGTTCTTTGGAACGGAAACCAGAGCACCTGGAGGAAACCCACACAGACACAGCACTGGTTAACCCAAGTCACATAGCAACTTTAATATGCAACAACACAAGTGAATTACTAATACTAAAATCAGAGGAATTATAGATCATAGCAGCTCACGAATGGAATATAAACTGATTTCAAAGAGCAAAACATTTAAAGATACCAAAATGATATGTGGAATGACATCTCTTTCCAGACCACTATACAAGGCATACTTACCTCATCATCCTCATTATCATCATCGTTCACTTGCTGATTGGCTAACTTCATTGCACTCTCCAGCACTCCCACAATACTTTGATCCTGTGCACCGCTCTCTGCTCCCTGAAGTGGTGGGAAACCTTGTGGGGATGGGGCATGGATTGACGAATGAAAACAATTCACTGTGGCAGAAAAATACAGCGCTGACTTTAGCCACCATCTCTGCTACCGTCCCAGCTACCGGACAGCTATCAGCAATCAGGATTGACAGTCATTTTATCATCTTTCCATTTATGACCATGCCATAAAGCTATCTGTGTGTTACGAATGTGGACCAGACAACCAAATTTACATCACAATCTGCCTAATAACTTTTAAAGTAGATAAATTAAGAGATCTATGGGACTTTCAAACAGAATAGAGTAAGAAGATTCTGTAGTTTAGAACAACAATAATAAACTCAGATTTAAAGGAAGTATGCATTTCCTATATGCATACATATATGTTGTATATACATATACAACATTGAAATAGTAATATGGTACCAATATAGATCTTGTATTAACACTCAGAATTTAATTTGGTAAATATGGATAAGATAATGGTGACCTACAGCGGACATCAATTAGCAGAAATAATCAAGATGGATCCTATGGATTTCTCAGCCGTTACCTCCCAGACATTAATGGGTCATCAAATCTCATCAACTTCACAGGGGATTACAATTCTTCACATTTCCAAACCTGGCCTTTAAACGCCCTCAAAATCCACACCATTTCTGGTCAATTACCCTCATTACATGGGTCTAGGTCCCCAAATCCAAACTCGCACTCCATTACTGCTTCATTGACAGCTAGCTTCATCGAGTCAGTCTCGTCTCTGGCTTTGTCCCGAGCTCCAATCTTGCTCAGTTACATCAAGCAAATACTGATTGGGAGCTTTTTAACCCTCACTCTATAAGCTGTCCTTAAGTAATAATGCTCACAGAGTTCTTCTGAACATTTCCCTATTAAAGGTGGGCATTCTCGTTAACAATGCACTACATTGTGACTGACATGGGCACAAATTTACGCCCAATTGCAGAAACACTGTTGCTCAAGTTTCCAAATAACCAGGCAGAGACATTATGGCTTTTATAGAGTAGGACAGAGATTTTCCAATAACCTTTCACTGAAAGATGGTGAAGTAAATTTGTGTTTTCACTTCTGCATTCACCTTTCCAGTGAACTAACTGCTCTGAGTTGGAGTGTATTGGACTGAGGACAGCAAAGAGAAGCTGGAGGAGGGAGAACAGAAATAAACAAGTTAAAATCAGTGGTCACCGAGTGACACCATGTGGGTATAATAACTCCCTGCAACACAATGCTGCATTAATTGCCAGAAACACATGAAACAAGAGGATAACGGTGCACATTTCCACCCACTTATTTGATGCACTTGGACAATAATCTCAGTCTGGTGAATTATCCTCTCACTGGATCACTCGAACCAAGGCAGGCAAAATTTAATGGCATTTATGTTACAAAACCAATCACAGAAATGGAAGGTATGCAGTTCAGTCTATCAAACAGAGATTGTAAACTGCTTTGGATCTCCTGTGTTCAATACTTCCTAATAACAAAAAAAAAACACACAGGATATTTCAGAAGTTTGCTTCTTCCCACTAACCCCCAGAAAACCTTACTGCCCCAAGTAGTTTTCAATCAACATTCTTTATACCAGTGGTCTCATGATGTCCTGTCCAATAGCTTTGCATGATTAGGATAAATTAAAATCTGTTTCTTACCTGGTGGCACGGGGAGTTCACTCAGGTTAACATTCTTTCCTCCTTTATATGCTCGTATGGCGTCCTGGTATTGCTGAAAAATCAATTAAAAACAGTTGCCATAGCCTTAGAGGAGAGAATTGTCACGCTGAATTTCTGCTCCTATACCACCAGAGAAATTTTGAATCAGCTATGCATTTTTCCTTTGCATCTCAGTTTTCCAATTAATGCAAGCACTGAAATGTTAAAACAGCCCACAAGAGGTGGTGCAGAGAAATACAGGGTGGAATCTGTATTTCTATATTTTCTAATCAACCTGTTCAGAGATATTATGACACACCTCTGGACCAGGCGAGACTTGAACCCAGTCCTTCTGGCTCAAAGGCAGAGACATTACCATTGCACCACAAGAGCGCAAATATGTTCAAACACACCTGTGAATGTGAGAGAATAAAAAAGGGTAAAAAAACACATGTATGAACGGACAGTGACTTTTTCTGCTTTCAAAGAATGGATAAAAATGCAAGAGAAGCAGAAAGGAAAAGAATATATAAACTAGGGAGGGTGCCAGACAATACAGAAGGTAAGCATGATTGAACAAGATGGTGAGATAGATCTTGACTTTGTACCCGAGTGAAACAGTGACAGCAAGTCTGCAAAATGTTTCACGTGTCTCCAGATTTTATTTCTTCTTCCGCTAAATAACAAACAGGAGAAATACAAAACAGGCCAGTGATTCACACTCCCCTGCTTGCCAAATGGGAGGGCGAACCTTAATAGGGACAACACAGGGAGCCACGCAGACTCTTCAAAATCAAAATGTTAAATAGGAACAATATTTTAAATTTGCTAGTAGTTCTAAATGAGTTATTTTTGAAATGCATTTACCTTGACTATGCGTTCATGCATCCTTGCTTTCCGGTCATTCTGTGTATTCTTGGCCTGTGCAGCAGCAGACTTGTACTTGTCCATTCTCTGTTGAAGGGCCTCCAGGAGATCTTTAGGGGGAGGTGGAATAGCTGCAGACATAAAAAAACCCCGATTAAATCAAAAGGGGTTTATTTCTGTATTTGCAAATTTTGCATCAAGTCACTGGCTCCATAGGCTTAACCACATTTACCAAGAACTTGGAATAAACCCAAAGCTCCACTTAGAACTTTTATTCCCAGGTATGTTGGCTAACAGTGTGGACTGAAAATACAGAACAACCATTGTCTAAGTCAAGTTAGAATCCATCTTTACAGAGTTAGGACACGGAGCATGAGGAACTTATACTCTCCATTAATAATGGTATTGTACAATGAACCCTGTGAATTCTTTGAATGCACAAAGAATAACTGGAAAGTTTAAAACCTGGGTCTTCCTAGATACAGGAGTCTAATACATTTGCACTGCAAGGAGCAGCGGTTGTTCTAAACCTATACTTTGACAACTTGAAGCACAAGTATTCCAGTATGCGTAAATAATACACAAGAGTGCCGACCGAGTCTGTAGTAATATAAATAATGATGCTGTCTAACAGGGAGAAAATTTATGACAAGTTAGATATGAGAATATGAAATGCAATAGGAGTAGGGGGTGCCATTCAATATGATCATGGCTGATCATCAAACCTCAAATCATGTCTCACTATGCAAATATGTTTCGATCTTCTTAAAATCCATTGATCTATATATCTGTCTTGTATATACTGGAAAACTGAGCATCCACATCTCTCTGATATACAGAATTCTAAATATATTCAACCTTCTGGCTGAAAGCAATTCTCCTCATCTTCGTTTTAAATGGCCAATCCCCTCTTCCATGACTGAGCCCTGGTTCTGGACTCTCCAACACAGAAGGCAGCCATTTGGCCCATCATCACTCTCAAACGAGCATTTCCCGTCATGCCATTCTCGTCCCTTCTCCCCATAACCTTGGGCATAGTTCCTTTTCAAACAGCCACCTATTCCCCTTTAAACATCTCGACTGAATTGGCCACCACCACGTGCTCAGACAATGCACTCCAGACCTGAACCGATCACCACGTGAAATAGCTTTTCCTCATTGATTTTCCTACTCTACAAATTACTTATTATTTCTTAATTAATTTAAGACTGAGATGAGGAGGAATTTCTTCTCTCAGAAGGTTGAGAAATCCTTCTCACAGAGAGCTGTAGTGGCACAGCGCTTGTGTATAAAATAACTGGACTAGGCGAGCACTTATTGCCCAGCCCTAATTGCTGAGGGGGCTGATAGGAATCAGTCACAGTGTTGTGGATCTGGAGTTATATACAGGCTCTGGAGTTACATACAGGCCAGACCAAGCAGAGATGGCAGTTTCCTGCCCTAAAGAACATCAGTGAACTAGATGGGCTTTTCCAACTATCAACAATGGATTCATAGTCATCATTAGATTCTCAATTTTAGATTTTTTTTTTAAAAATTGAATTTGAATTACACCATCTGCTGTAGCGGGATTCCAACCCAGGTCCCCAGAACATGACCCGAGTCTCTGGGATAGCAGTCTAGTGATAACATCACTAGGCTGTCTCCTACCCGCTAAGGCCGAGAGAGATGGAATCTTGATCTGAAGGGGAATCAAGGGTTATAGGGAAAGGGCAAGAAAGTGGACATGAGAAATGAGGACATGACAGAATATGTAAAGAAAAAAAGTCCAAACAGAGAAGGAGTTACACTGGGCCTGGTTTTGGGAAATGAGCCTGGCGAGATGAGCAAAGTTTCAATGGGGGGGACATTTCGGGAGTAGTGACCATAATACTGAGAGTTTTAAGATACTCCAGAATAGGGATAACAGCAGTTCTCCGGTGCAGGTTTTAAACTGGGGGAAGACAACAATATTAGGCAGGAACTGGAGAATTTTGATCGGAGGTGGCTGTTTTAGGACAGAATTAGAAGAAAAACGTGGGTAATATGAATCATGAAGACGACATAGGATCAACCCTTCAAAAAGCACCCACCTGATGAAGAAGTCAATGGCTGTGAAGAAGCCGTCGTTGGGACTGAGGGAGCAGATGACGGAGGAGGAGGGATTGACACTTGGTCCTTTGGTAGACGATCTGGGGAGAGAATGTAGACTGAAGTAATCAAATGGAAACAGCCAAGTTAACTCTGCAACCTTGGACCCAGTTTTGCAAGCTCAGAACGAATACAGTTAGTCAAAACTAGTTCCGAGAAGACGGTGTAGAAATCAAAGGCCGGCTGACAGAAACATAAAGCTGCACTCATGACACAAATATACAACTGATCCAGTGCATACCAAAAGGGGGTGGTAGGCCACTCAATTCCACAGTCTCTCCTCTATCCAGTGCTTCAAGAATAGGGTCAAATTTCTGGTTTGAACAGAAAGAAAGAGCTTTTAATGGATACACGTTTAATCAACATTTTCTGGATGGCCTCCAATTGCGAGAAAGTCAAAACAGGAACCATGCTGGAGTGCCAGACTATCACCTCCCTTTCCCATCCTACAAATGCTACTCAAGGACACTGGAATAGGAGTCTGCCATTCAACTGGACCATGTCTGATCTACAATACATACACCTCCGTCCTTGCTTTGGCTAGCCTGAATACCTTCACCTAATAGAAAAAAAAATCAAGTTTCGGCTTTTCAACTTTCTTTCTTTGGTGAATCGTGTTCAAGTCTATAGTTAAGGGACTGACAATACCAGGGGAATGGAACAATTTCCATTTCAGATGCTTGGTGCCAACACACTCAAATGGAAGAGTAACTGCTTTTTTTCCCCCATTATCTTCACCAGCATCCAGTGGCCTCTCAACAAGAGGGACTCATTACTACGTTAGTTGTACAGTAGTTTTGTGCTTTGGATCAATTTAAGGGAAGCTTAAACTCGCAAAATACATGTCATAAGTACCTTTTTCATCATGGGGGAGGCGATGGCCTAGTGGTATTATCGCTGGACTGTTAATCCAGAGACCCAGATAATGTTCTGAGGACCCAGGTTCGAATCCCGCCATAGCAGATGGTGGAATTTGAATTCAACAAATGTCTAATGTCTAATGATGACCATGAATCCATTATCAATTGTCAGGAAAAACCCATCTGGTTCACTAATGTCCTTTAGGGAAGAAAACTGCCATCCTTACTTGGTCTGGCATATATGTGACTCTAGGCCCACAGCAATGTGGTTGACTCTGAACTGCCCCCTGGGCATTTAGGGATCGGCAATAAATGCTGCCTAGCCAGCGACGCCCTCATCCCATGAATGAATAAATAAAGAAAAAACCTAAAAACTAAGCTAGGCTGTTGAACCTAAATAGGTTTGTCTACTGAAGGATGGATCAGCCATTATATCTCAACATGGTAAAAAACTGAACATCAACAAATTCACAAAACATTTACAACACGCCTGAACTAACACTTTGCATTTTCAAGTCTCCCCACCTCACCATCACACCACCAGCCAGGTTTCTACCATTGGATTGAATTAGAGGGTTTCCACAGCTTGGCATCAGTCTCACCTTACTTATTCGGTATAACTTTGTTGCAAGCTCAGTGTCTCCACTGCGTTTGGCTTGAAGTGCTGCCAATTTGTACTCTCGTTGTCTGCTCATTGCTGTTTCTTTCATACTGGAATTCAACGATACTAAAATCGAGAAATCAAGGCTACACATAAGCAAAATAGTAATTTCTTGTATTCTTCCAGAAAAACATCCAATAACAGTGGTACCAAGGAGCTACATGAAGTTAGTTGTGTGCCAGTTTTCAGTTAATTGGCTGAGAATTTGAAGATTGCATAGAGCAGCCCAAATTCTTTCCCTTCCTCATGCTGTCCGCTTTTATACCAATAAGGAAATCAGTTCTGGATTCTCTTTAAACTTGTACAGCCTTCAAACTAAAAGGGTCTTTCTTCCCAAGAAGCATCCAGCCAATGACTTACTTTCCAGTTGTTGCCTTTGCACAAGATTTGTAAGGTTACACGACAGTCAGTGAAACAATCTTCACAGTATCACTTGATTCAATGGCTCCACAGTTAAAAGAAGGCACTGAATGACTGCTCCTATGATGCTGCTTGGCCTGCTGTGTTCATCCAGCCCTGCACCTTGTTGTCTCGGATTCTCCAGCATCTGCAGTTCCTACTATCACTGAATAACAGTAGTCAGGTTGAAGTATACCTTAGAAAGTCCTTGCTATATTTTCTAGGCTTCAAATTATATTTCTCATGTTCATCATCCAGGAGGACTCATATTAGCAATTCCATGTACTCCGTAAATCAAAAGATTTGTTCTTAAATACACAAATCTGCAATTTCCACCACAGAGTCATAGAGACTGTACAGAACAAAAACAAACTCTTTAGTCCAACTCGTCAATGCTGACCAGATATCCTAAATTAATCTAGTCCCATTTGGCCCATATCGCTCTAAACCCTTCCTATTCATGTCCCCATCCAGATGCCTTCTAAATGTTGTAATTGCAACAGCCTCCACCACTTCCTCTGGCAGCTCATTCCATACATGCACCACCTTCCACGTGAAAAGTTGCCTCTTATGTCCCTTTTAAATCTTTCCTCTCTCACTTAAACCTATGCCGTCTAGTTTTGGACACCCCTACCCCTGGTGAAAAAAGACCTTGGCTACTGACCCCATCCATACCCATGATTTTATAAACCTCTATAAGGTCACCCCTCAGCCTCCAACACTCCAGGGAAAATAGCCCCAGCCTATTCAGCCTCTCCCTGTAGCTCAAACCCTGGCAATATCCTTGTAAATCTTTTCTGCACCCTCTCAAGTTTAACAACATCTTTCCTATTGCAGGGAGGCCAGAATTGAACACAGTATTCTAAAAGTGGCCTAAAATTTTATTTAGGCCCAAAGATGATATTTTAATGCATTAAAATAAAAGAAATTCAAGTGCAAAGGGCTAGCGTTATGCAGTAGTTTCCTTAATCTTTGCAACAAAGGAACTTCTGCCAATCCCCACGTCTTTTCATTAACGTGGATCTTCCTCCTCATGCAAAAGACCAGATAATACAGGTTTCCTGCATTTAGGTCAGTTTGAACAAACGTAAAATTTCTTGGTTAACATTTTCAATGCAACAAGATGCAACATTATACTATTAATTTTAAAGCACAACATGAAACATTATGTTAATTTTCCTCATGGAGACCTGCCTATCTACTTTAAAGTGTACTTTAATAACAATAAGAAAGTGGTACATTAAAATGTAGAAGGCTTCAATGATTGCATTTTCTTAAACGTATTGCATCCAATAAGCAGAAAGATTGGCTTGACATTTTCAAATTTCATTTTCAAGCGTGAAAGTAACTAAGCAAAGACAGAATAAGATGCAAGTGCCACATTTAAGGATCCCCACATCCCCGAATAAATAAAAAGTAAAAAGTAAAAATATTCCAGTTGATTTCCTCATAAGATGAAACCTCCTAGCCAGTGTGTATCCATCAGTCAACATAGCAAGGACAACAGGGAGAACTCTGCTGTTTTGCTTTTAACTTGTGTCCTGGGACATTTTACACCTACTGGAGAGGGGACACGTTAATATTTCTTTCAAAAAAACAACACCTCCATTAATGAACTTTCAGCCTGTTGACGGAAAGGCAGGCAAAGGCAAATCTGTCAGTTTAAAGGGAAAAAAAAAGCACCCTCCAGAGATTGCAAATTTGCAGCCTGCAAATGCCATTCTGATCCTACCTGCTCTGTTATCTGACACTGGGGCAGCTGCCTCCATTTTGGCAGGCACTGGCACTTCCGCATGCATGTTTGGTCTTTTGACTGAAGGAGGTGGTGCAACCTCAGATACGGACATCTTTGGTTTGGGTAGTAAAGGAGGGGGTGCAGGCCGTGCTGCTGGCACTGGATGTACGCTGGGCACAGTCAAGTCAATCAAGACAGATCGGTCTTCTGTTAGCGGTGCTGATGTCCCGGGGACAAGCTGGGTTTTTGTGGCATTACTACTTTTCCCAGAAGCCACGGGGGGTGGAATGTCCTCTTCATTAATCTGCTTTCCCTTCTTCACCGATGTAAGCATGGACTGTAAAGTCTGAAGAAGAATACCAGAATAAAAAAAATTAGGGAAATGAAAAGAAATATAGTTTTCTGATCATAAGCATAGAGGATCAAAATCCTTGAATATCAATTTCAAGGCAGTAAAAGTTTAACAGGCTACCAAGAGTGGAAGGATAGTACCCAACTTCTGAACTGGAAGGCATAATCTAGGCTGGCTTTTCAATACAGTGACAAAAGGAGAATGCATTCAATATTCAAGCAGAATCACACCACATAGTATGTGTATTCAATTTGTTGTCCCAGGAGGCAATTATTTATGCATTGGTCAACAGCACCTGCATCATTTGAAAGACTAAAGAACACCAGGGTGCAGGGCTGGATGAACACAGCAGGCCAAGCAGCATCATAGGAGCAGAGAGGCTGACGTTTCGGGCCTAGACCCCCGTCCACGCAATAAAAACCAAAAAAGAATCCCCCTCGTCCTCACGTACCACCCCACCAACCTCCGGATCCAACGCATCATCCTCCGACACTTCCGCCATCTGCAATCCGACCCCACCACCAAAGACATCTTTCCCTCCCCACCCTTATCTGCTTTCCGGAGGGACAACTCTCTCCGTGACTCCCTTGTCCGTTCCACACTCCCCTCCAGCTCCACCACACCCGGCACTTTTCCCTGCAACCGCAGGAAGTGCTACACCTGCCCCCATACCTCCTCCCTCACCCCCATCCCAGGCCCCAAGAAGACTTTCCACATCAAGCAGATGTTCACCTGCACATCTGCCAATGTGGTATACTGCATCCGCTGTACCCGGTGTGGCTTCCTCTACATCGGGGAAACCAAGCGGAGACTCGGGGACCGCTTTGCAGAACACCTACGCTCGGTTCGCAACAAACAACTGCACCTCCCAGTCGCGAACCATTTCAACTCCCCCTCCCATTCCTCAGACGACATGTCCATCCTGGGCCTCCTGCAGTGCCACAACGATGCCACCCGAAGGTTGCAGGAACAGCAACTCATATTCCGCTTGGGAACCCTGCAGCCCAATGGTATCAATGTGGATTTCACAAGTTTCAAAATCTCCCCTCCCCCTACCGCATCCCAAAACCAGTCCAGCTCGTCCCTGCCTCCCTAACCTGTTCTTCCTCCCACCTATCCCCTCCTCCCACCTCAAGCCGCACCTCCATCTCCTACCGACCAACCTCATCCCGCCCCCTTGACCTGTCCGTCCTCCCTGGACTGACCTATCCCCTTCCTAACTCCCTACCTACACTCACCTTTCCTGGCCCCATCCCCGCCTCTTCGACCTGTTTGTTTCCTCTCCACCTATCCTCTCCTCTATCCCTCTTCTATCCGCCTCCCACTCTCTCCCTATTTATTTCAAAACCCCCTTCCCCTCCCCCTTTTCTGATGAAGGGTCTAGGCCCGAAACGTCAGCCTCTCTGCTCCTATGATGCTGCTTGGCCTGCTGTGTTCATCCAGCCCTGCACCTTGTTGTCTCGGATTCTCCAGCATCTGCAGTTCCTACTATCTCTAAAGAACACCAGTGTACATTTCTTGGGGTCCAACACCTGTAATCACAGTCACATCTCGAATTCCTACTAGCAAGGAGCAATTACAAATATGATGAGCCAAATGACTTCTAACTATACTGGATACTCAGACAGAGCTAACTCAGCAAAAATCAGAGCCACTCAAACAGTTCCTCAGCCAGCAGATTCATTAAAGACGCAAGAATTTTTTTCAACCTTAAGGCCACGTTCATATCTCCGAATCTTGGAACTCTCCCCAGACTGTTTGGCATTGTCGATCGCAGATCTGTACATGTCAATCCTCTCTACCAGAGTGCCTTCCAGTCCACCAGTAACTGCAGGCGTCGGAATGGACTACAGATAAAAACAAATTTTGTTAGTGTCAAGTGTCAAACTGAATACTACCTACAAAAAAAAACTCCGTGGATTTAAATGGCAAGTTAATTTTACATCCCAAAGTGAAGAAACTATGCAGTTACGCTTAAATTTGCCATGATTAGTTACAGTACTAGCAGATTCTTGAAGATACTAAACTAACTTAAGTGGAGGCAGTGGCTTAGTGGCAATGCCACTAGACCAGCAATCAAAGACCTCAGGCTAATGTTTTAGGTACAGGAGTTTGAATCACACCAAAGAAGGTGATGAAATTTGAATTAAGTGAAAAAATTTGTCATTAAAAAGCTTAAGTAGTAGCAACCATGTAAGCTCTGTTGACTGCTGTGAAAACCCATCCAGTTCACTAAAGTTGTTGACAGAAGGAAATCTGTCATCGTTGCCTTATCTGGCCTAAGGTGACTCCAGACCCACAGGGCATTGGTTCCTAACTGCTCTCTGGTCAATTAGAAATGGACAATAAATGCTGGTCTAGCCATGAGCAAAGTTCTAGAAAGTTGATGTTCTGTTGACTGAAATGTTTGGCCATATCAGATACTGGACAAGGATCCTTATTAAAAAAAAATTAGCCCCGGAGCCTCGTTCTGAATTCAGACGCAATTTCTGGGATGAATGTGTCTCTGACAGGAGGTAACAATCCCAAGTAACTTGAGTCCAAGTACTCTTCATTTGACTCCGTGGGTACCCCCAAAATTAAATCAGATATCAAACTTGGCACCGTGCTTATCAATTAAGCCATTTCTTAACAAAAGGGAAAAACAGCCTGCTAAACAGTGGTCACTTTGAACAAAGAAGAGAAGTCTATCAATTGGACATTATGCATTCCAATTAAGACAGTGTTTACTATGGGATTAGAGCAGTCCTGGACTTGAAAATCTATTGAGTTCTGAGGAAGAGTCACTGAACCGAAATATTAACTCTGATTTCTCTCCACAGAGGTTTCTTCTCTTAAAAATTAAAACATCATTGAAGTTAAGCACTGAAATGAATGTTGTTCGGCCCAGCAATTCCCTACTCCTTCCTCAAATCTTCTGAAACTTTTAGTCAAGTAGATATCTAATTTCTTCGATAATGAATCCTGCCATTTGAGAAGTAGTGACAGATCTGCGCTGCAATACGTTCCTTTTCCCAATAATTCATCAGGCAAAACAAAACTGCTCTTGTCTTTCCTTTAGAGTTTGAACTAATCTAAACACAGCTCTGTGTACTCCACTCCCAAATATCACAGTCTTATTACACAGACCATTAAATAAATGCTCTCAATCAAGAGAGACTTCAGTCTCTTCTTAAAAACATCTCACCAACAATAACTGGAGGTAAACCTTGGGGATCGGCAGCCCGTGAGGAGAGTGCATCATTTTTTAAGAAGGAGAGAAACAAGGTAAACAAAATACACCAATTACACTGCCAACAACAGAACTAACAGCAAGAAATGAACACAATTTATTTTTCTTAAGTGAGCAGGGGCATGAGACCATAAACCTACCTGTGGAATAGAGTCAGAAGTGAGCTTACTTTCCACGGGGGACGGCACATTCTTATTCTGTCTATCATCCTCAAGCACCTCATTCAGTTCAGCCTAGAAAAGCAAAACCTTAAATCAAAACAATATCAAAATATCATACTCTAATCATAAGACAAACACCCTAACTGCACATTACAGAATGACCAGTGCAAAGGAGTTTTAATATTGAGAGGAAGAATTCGGAGAATAGAGCTTATAAAGCAAAAAGGTTTCACCCTGGTGGAGGAAAGAAAAAAGCACAGAGGGACAAAGAGGAGATTGGCTGGATGCAGGGCATGGTTTGTATCTATGTAGAAAAGTGCCTTTAAGTGCTTCTGAATTGTAGTCACTATTGCAACGTGGCAAACATGGCAGTCAAGCTAAGCACAGCACGATCCCACAAAAGCACTGTGCTAAATACAGATAATCCATTCGAGAGATTTAGTTTGAAAAACAAAGATTGGTCAGCAGTTTGGTCCTTCTCCAAAAGATGACATGGGACCTTTACTCCCCTTCAGAGGGGTTCTTATTTTAACATTCCAAAGAAGGCACTGAAAAGAACAGCACACCCTCAGTATTACAATGGACTGCTAATCCAGATTGGGTACTCAAATCTCAGCAGTGGGGCCTGAATTTGTAGTCTTCTGGCTCTGCAGTGAGAATGGTATCACCAATTCAAGGCCATTGGGCTGACAGCAATCGCGCTCTTGACTGTGCATCAGTAATACCTGGAACAACATGCTTGGGACAAACAGAAAGACAATGACAGTAGATGGAAGTAAACCAAGTGCTTACTGAAGGAGCAAGATAACAAGCAGTTATTGGGACAGTAAGAAACAGAATAAATAGTTTTGCAGTGGATTGGAAATGGGTGCCAAAATGGTGTCTCCTTTCAGGTGTAAAACTACTGGCAAACCAATGCTGGTTCTTCCACCTCGTCTGATTTCCACCTGCATTCACTAATGGTGCTGCACCTAGAGTTACACAAGGAAGTCCTCTCAATTGAAATGGTTGCAACTCTTCGTTATAAAGATGTTTGGCAGCAATATGCACAAACCAAAATGCTAATAAAAAGCCTCATTATAAATACAAGTAAGTATTAAATACAATCTTAGATGTACAAAGTATGGTAGCTACTGGATCCAACTGCAAGTAGGGCTGTAAAGCAACATTTAAGCTGCTTCATGACTTAATACAAAAATATTCTTTCACATATTGAGCAGGTCACACTAGTAAGGTATCAGGTTTAGCTTGCGAAAGCTTCTATACATAATTGTGAAATCAGATGCACACCATTTAAATGCTGAATACACAACGGGTTCAACAAATTTTCCAAACCACAGGTAACATCATAATATTATAAAGCAACCACAACAGTGGCATTGCAATCTCGTATACTCCGTATTTCAGAAGATTTAAGGATCCGAAGCTAGACTGTGGGCATCTATTAGCTTCTATGTTAGGAATGGAAACAAGAAATTCACCAAAGATCCTCAGACAGCACCTTCCAAACCCAAAACCACTTCCATCTAGAAGGACAAAGGAAGCAGATATAGGGAAACGCCACCATCTTCAAGTTCCCCTCCAAGCCACTCACCATCCTGTCTTGGAATTATATCACCATTTCTTCACGGTTGCTGGGTCCAAATTCTGGAATTCCCTCCCTAATGGCATTGTTGGTCAACCCACAGCAGGTGGGCTGCAGCGGTTCAAGGAGGCAGCTCACCCCCACCTTCTCAAGGGTGATGAGGGTTGGGCAAGAAATGCTGGCCAAGCCAGCGACACCCACATCCCACAAAATGAATAAATTTTTAAATAATGTCGTGATTGTAATGAGGTCAGCCAGGTAAACTTCATAGAAGGAGTTCCCTGATTGGGCCAGATCAGGGATCCGTGGCTGACAGATAAAAAGAGAGTCAGACATTATGAAACACAGAACTAATTCTGAGGGAGCCGGACCAGGATCAAGGACTTTCCACGTGTAAATAAAGGGTGATTTGGTGACAGGATCCCTGCCTCTGTGGAGTTATTTCAAATGGGATACCACCGCTACAGCAGGGGCTTCTTAAAATTAAGGCTGCTATCTGAAGAATCAGTGCTAGTGTTGAGTGGTATTGGCGCTCAGGTCATAAAACTCCATGATTCTCTCAATTACTCACCAAGCTAAAGACATTGAAATCAACGAATATTTTAAAAGGTTTTTCAAAGCTACTTACCATCAAGTCTGCATCATCATCCACATCATCATCAGCTTCTTCATCAAGGTCCTTCATGCACAGAGCAGCCATTCTTTCAATATCTTCCATTGGGAGTGGGACTACAGAAACAGAAGGTTTGTCAGGACTACAAGTTTTTGTTTTGACTAATCTTGAGTGGCTTTTCCACTACCCACTCAAGAATCAGGATGGGATGACATTACTTTGAACTCACTCCTTGCACTTCTAGGATCAGGGTTCAAATCCAGCTAGGTGCATAGAAATTTTAGCCTGTCACTGCCAAAATAAAATATAAATTTGGAGTAGTTTTAACTGAATTCCTAAGAGGAAATGCTAAGAGGAAATTCCAAGTGCAAACTACTCATAATTCCACACACATTGTCTCTCTCACCTGACCTCTGAACAAAGATTTGGTTATCTGTCGTACTATTTACTTGTGGCTTTGCATCAAATATTGTTTGGTAATGCTCCCTTGAAGATACCTTGACATGAACTGCAACAATGAAGACAATTCATAAATGCAGGTTACTGCTTTTTAAATTGGCAACGTTTCAACGGCTGATGAGGGAAAAGGAGAACAACACAGGTGCATTTAACAAGTTTGACTTAAAAAAGTATTGACAGAAGCCCTCAATTTTTCCAACAGATAGATCAGTTGGGGACAAAAGGAACTCCCCAGTGAGTGGCATCAGTACTATTCCCTGTGAAAGCTCCAGGGGTATAGTTGAGCAGTCCAGCAAAACCATGGCCTCGCTATTCCATTTTAAAAGCTCCCCATCAGTTGACCATTCACATGCTATTCACATAAGGTCGGCTGAAATAGGATTCATAAAAATAAGGCAGCGGTCATTCAGCTCCGAGCCTGCACCGCCATTAAGATCATGGCAGATCTGACCGCAACTTCAAATCCGCATTGTCACCCACCCCTGATAACAATCCAACCCTTTAATTAAACAAGAATCTATCGTCCTCGATCTGAAGAATACAGTGGCACTTCCGCCAACTTTTCAGGGGGAACAGTTCCAAGGACTCAGAAAGAAAAATATCATCTAATTTACGTTTCAAGTGGGTGACACGACCCCCAGGTTTTAGACAGAGACACTTAATTCTATATTATTCCATAAAGGAAACATCCTCTCCACATCTACCCTATCAAGACCCCTAGGATTTTGCATATCATGTCTGTCATCTTTTACTCATCTGAACTCTGGCAGATACAAGCTTTGTTTGTCCAACCATTCATCGTAAGACAACACACCTATTCCAGGTATTAGTCTGGTAAATCTTCTTTGAACTGACTCCAATGCATTTATACCCTTCTTCAAATAAGATGACCAATACTATGCACAGTACTCCAGGCGCAGTCTCAACAGTGCCCTGAATAACTGAAGCATAACCTCCCTACTTTTTTATTCAATTCCCCTCACGACAAATTATTTGTTCTCTCTATGTTTTAACATTTTGTCAGTCACGTACAAGGACACTCAGATCCCTCCCACCATTTAAATAATGCTTTCACTGAAATCCTAACAGGGAGAAAAATTCTGCTCAAGGCTGATGAATACAGAATTTAGACTGCAAATTTCAGTTCAATGCCAACTACAAACTGATTTGTGTAAAACAAAAAGTTAGGCTTTCTTACTCAAGAATTTGAACATTCCGTCCTAGCTGAGAGGAACCATTCGACAAGATGCAAAGTGAAATTATGTGGGGAATAATCATTTGCTGTTGAGTAATTACACAGCTTTGGGTTACTGCTATTTGTGATCTGCAACATTTTAAGTGTAAAGGTATTTCGTCAACCATAAACCCTTATAGCGAAGAATAAACATGAATTCATTTAATATAGACTTCACATTGCATCAAAATTCAGTTGGTTATCTGGTGATCAGGTCAAGAGAGATGTATTTTCATATTTGAAATATGATAAGTTTAGTCAGCAAGCAGCAGTTTGTCCCAATTCCCAAAAGTTTAAAAGGAATAATGTAAGAGGTGAAGGAACAAGAAGTCTGACCGTCTTCTTAGTTAGGAAGAAGTCTGTTGAGCATAGAGGGTATTCAAGAACAAGAAACCGGAGGTAGATTATATGGAAATGAATTTAAAGAACAAAACTAAGTAGGGATCAATAAATCACTACACATCTGGACAGCCATTCTGAGTATTCAATGTATCTACCATAGGTGAAAACTGTTCAAACCAAGGAATTCTCTGAACAAGGCTAAGACTCTAATCATTTGAAAGCGAAAAAAAAAACACTTTGTTTTATAAAGCAACATCCACGTCCTGAAGGACTTCACAGCCAATGGGACATTTCGAAGTTCCATTACAATTGCAGTGTTGGAAATGCAGCGACAGATTTGTGCAAAGAAAGATCCCACAAAGACCAATGAGAAAAGTGACAATTGCAGAGTTGATGGGCAAATTTTGGTCAGAACATTGGAAAAAATTCTTGATCTAATCCAAATAAGTCTGCGGACTGGTAAGTACCAAGTAAAATTTGTGTCAGTTAAGTGGTAAGTACTGGCCATCTGAACAAGAGAAAGCTATCATTTCCCCAAATGTCAACTACACTACCATCACCCAATTCCCCTATAGTCAACAGGTTTGGCAGCATCCGTGGAGAGAAAGCGCCCCTCTGCTTGGACAGCATACCCTTGATTTGTAACCACCCAAACTTAAAAGCCGAAAATCTCATGAGGACATGATCAGCTCCAAATCTCAACATTCTAATTTGGACCTATATTACTGTTCTTCCACTGTGGATGGATCAATATCTTGCAACTTTAACACATTAAAACAGCACTATTGACACACAGTTTCAGCAGTTCAAATAGAACTCCTGGTGGATGGGGTTTCAAAGTGTATGGAGCTAATTCAATGTATGCCAAATTTATCTGAAATACTTTCATGAAGTTAAACGTTATGTAAATGCAGGACTTCCTTTCCGGTTGTCAGGTGAAACATTTGTTGATCAGTGTAGATACCTCTCCCAAAAACAACTGGGGATTTATTTACTATTTCTAACATAGTAAAATTACCAAATGGGCTTTATAGGAATTATCCAAACAAAAAACCAGGCTACAAAGAGGTTAGAGTAGAAGATCAAAAACACGGCCAAAGAGATAGATTTTAAATCATCTTTAAAAGACAGAGCAAAGTTTAGGGAAGGAACTTGAGAGGTTACAGCCTTGACAGCAGAAAGTAGTCACCAATGAAGCCATTAAAATCAGGCATGCTCAAGAGGCTCGAACTGGAGAAGCATTGATATCTCAGTAGTGTTGTCGGGAATTACAGAAATAGGACGGGGTTTAAAAGTCAAGAGGCTGCTTACTTGGATGCAACATAGGTTAGAGCACACAGCAGTGGTGGATAAATGAGATTGTGTGTGAGCTAGAATATATCCAGCAGAGTTTTGCGACCTGCTGACATTCGAGTTAAGGTTTCTAAGTGCTGCCAAGATTCGGTTACAAGTAGATAACACAAAGCTCAAGAGTATTAGAAGAGAAAGAATAAATAGTACCTTAAACTAGATTCTAATTAGAATAATCATGGGTTTTAAACTATCTTATTAGTCCCATTCTAACACTTGTTACTTGTCCCTCAACTCGGAGGTTACTACTGTCAAAAAAAAGGGAAACCAGAGTGAAGATGACAGATTATTTACCTTTTCCTTTTGGTTTTCCTCTGCTAGCTGGTTTTTCTCCCGTAATCTCTGCCAGTTCTGCTTCCAAGTCAGAATCGCTCTCGTCACCGTTCATATCCATCATCATACTGTCGTCTGGTGAGAAGTCTACTAGCAACCCAAGCTGTGAAGACAAAAATCACTAAACTCATAGGAAATGTAAAGAATAACAGCATCTCCATGCAAAATTTCCATGAAATCAGCGTAATTACTGGGCTAATTTACTATATAAATAAAAAAGGAACAGAAAGGAAAATAAAATCACATTTTCAAATGTACATTTCATATGTGGAATTCAATTCATCATCTCAGACATCCTACCGCTAAAATGTTAAGCCCATACGGACCCACGAAAAGACGTTCAGACTTCATCTGTACATGGTGCAATCACAATATTACAACCAGCGACAAAAAAAAACACAGCAAATTTAGGGAAATCACTAGGTAATTCTTAGACTCCAAAGTACTTGATAAAAACTGACAATTCCCCCACTACCCACCCCCTTGCGACAATGCTCAAAGTACTCACATTCAAACGCAACATAGGCATTAATGTGAAATACTAAACAAACAAATCTTCTTTCAACAAGTCCCTTTTAAACTGCACCTTTCCAAATGCTGCCAATCTTCTTGCTGTACCTGCTGGAATGCTTTTACTGGGCCTAAAATGAAGGTCACAATATCATCGCATACACACATGTGTTTTGCAGCTGCTTTTCAATGGCTTGCACATGGCCCACTCGTCACAGTATAGATGGAATAGTGAACATACTGTACAGTGATTTAAAAGATGATGTACTGTACTGTGAATAAAGGCAACCTAGTAGTGCACTATGCTGTTCACCTTCAACCAAGTCTTATTGTAACCCCATGAAGTCCACAGCTGCATTGGTTAATACTTTCCAAAATGGACAATTGAAAAATGCATGCAGCCAGCATTCTTCAACGGTTAAATGTTTTATAAATGCAGGACTTTCTCTCCATTTGTCAGGGTGAAATATCAGTTGATAAGTGCAGAAAGCTGACCCAAAAACAACTGGGCACTTAATATTTCTAACATAATATAACTACCCAATGGGCTTCATAGCAATTTTCCACAGTGCAACACAAAATAAAACTCAACGTCACCAGGTGGCACCACAATTCAATTTACAGAACAAAATCAACATACACCTTCTCTGGTCTTGGCCACCATTGATTCAAGAGCGTGCATCCTAGGTTAACATCACCTGATATCAAATGCATTAAAAATGGGGTCAATCTCAGTTGCAGATATGCTGATTAAGCACACACACATTTGTACAGTATGCTATTGGACTAGTAATCCTGAGGAACAAGTTCAAATCCTTTCAGGGCAACTGAAATTCAAGTACTTAAATTAATCCGGAATTAAAAACTAGTATTAATAGTGGGGACTACAAAACCACTTGTTTGTCAATAAAGCCCATCTGAACCATGAACATCCTTTAAGAGAGGAAATCCAGAGGGTTGCCAGACCCACAGTGGTGCTGCTAACTCTTATCTGCTTTATTAAATGGTCGAGAAAGTCTCTCTATTGGACATGACAGGCTAGTTCTTTACTATTTTCCACGACCAACAAGAATCAGGATTAATTCCGTGAATGAATTTAAAGAAAAACAGTGGCATGAACACTGTCCAATTCCACATTACATAGACATTTTAGATGACAGTAATGCAAGTCAAGAGTCAAGATCTGAAGTCTTGTTCATCTTCACCTTGAAGGATGAACGTGTTTATCATATGCAGTCTTTGCCAGGATTCCAATCAGTACATAGGTGATTGCCAAGGCAAACTTATACCTGGAAGGTTTTACTGTAACCAGCTCAGGATACCCATACCACAGATGATGGAGTTTTGGATGATCTACTAGCACAAATTCCTCTGTCTTTCAAAAGTGTTGGAGTTTTTCTTAAATTTGGTTTTGTCCAGGTGCAATAATCCTGTGTGAGATTCTCAGCACTTCAAGTCGAAATCAAAACTCCTAAGTAAAACCTTCAAACAATCTCAAAGCTCTAAATCATCCGAGTAGTAAAGCAAAGTAAGCTTTTCTCCTCCAAAGACTCTCATCCTTCTATGCAATGGTGCAGAATTGGATCAGTCAGGTAACACTATCAATTATATGGTCAATACACCATTAGCTCTGCCAGTTAACATGGAGTCATAGAGCACAGAAATAGACCCTTTAGTCCAACCAGTCATGCCAACCATCATCCCAAACTAAATTGGTCCCACCAGCCTGCGCTTGGCCCACATCCCTCCAAACATGTCTTACTCATGTACTTATCCAAATATACTGAAATGTAATAACAAAAGAAATCTTGAAGTAAGTTCGCAATCTCAGGAGGGCTGCAAGATCCATGCTACTCTCAGTCCATTTCTTTTTTGTTCAATGTTCAATGAAAAGAAAGTGTGATTGTGGTATAGACACCCCAAGTCCTCAAAACCCTTTATAATCAGAATTTAAATACCAATAATCTGTTTCCTCATGAAACCTACAACAGGATGTCAAACAAGGATAGCTGATTAAACCAAAACATTCAACTTCACTGTTGTTACTGCAACCTAAGTATTTAATTTAATAAACAGAATTGTATTTCAAGTTAGGGCTACTATAATACGTTATTCAATTTAACCACTAGAAATAGTTTAACCACAAATGATATTTGAGCTTGTACATTCTTGGCCTCTGTGGATACTGCACAGCTGATCTGTTGAATTAATCTGATAAATTCAAGGGATAAAATCTCACAAGAGTAATCGTGTATTCTACTGGGCTGTGGTAGCATCATTCCTACACTTCACTGGAAAAAAGTGAGAAATCATACTTAACCAATGCCTGTATGATGAACTTCTTACAGAACACTTATTTCTTTATCTTACACGGCACCTACCATCACAGAGTACAGTTACTACCCCAGTAACTACATATGGTTACCAATCCGAGATGGTAGGAAAAACCAAGTCCAAAAGGAGGGTTAAAGGACAGAATCTAAATTAAACCTACACAAAGTTATATACAAATGGAACCATACAGAAAAGTGACCTGCTATAAAGCTTCCTTTCAAATGTTCTCCTTTGTAAAAACAACAATTTACTGAAATCTATAACATTTACGGTTTGTTTATCAGAGACCCAAATAATCAGCCACAGCTTGGTTAGTCACACCTCTGGATCAGAAGGTCATAGGTTCAAGATCCAGAACAGGACTTGTGCACAAAACCAAGGCACATGCTGCTGTGCAGTACTTTGAGCGAAGGTGCAGAGGGGTTTCCCCACACTGCCCTAGCCAACACTTATCCCTCAACCAACACTACAAACACTCCCTCTCGGTCAACAGCGACCATGCTTCAAAAAGCACTCCATTCATTGGCTAAACAGAAGACCTGGTGGCTTAAGAAAGCATGATGTGAATACAGGTTGCTCTTTTGCTTTCCTTACAAAAAACGATTTGGCAAATTACCAATTGTTGTATGTGGGATTTTGCTGTGCACAAATTTGCACTCCTTCCCATTACAACATGACAACACTTAAAAAATCCTTAGTTGGCTGAAAAATGCTGAGGTATCCAGCAGTGGTGAAAGGCGCAATGGAAATGCAAGTCTTTCTTACCGTCACCTCTTGCAGCTGCCCATGAGTTTCTGGCAGTGTGATCAGGCCAATATTTAGCCCTCAATTGACACCACACAAAAACCAAACATTTCATACAACAGGATTAGCCATGGGAAATGCAGGGTTACAGGGATAGGGGTAATGAGGGGATCCGGATAGGATGCTCTTCAGAGGGGTGTTGTGGACTTTAATGGGTTGAATGGCCTGCCTCCACACTGTTGGGATTCTATTCTATTCTATGTTGCTCTTTAAAAAAATAAAAAGCAGAACTCCACTGGACATACAGAATACTTTGGGGCACCCAGTGGTTGGAAAAAGCACTGTACGGATGGATGCAGGCGCAAATTACTGCAGATGCTGGAATCCGTACTGAAAACTAAAAATTCTGGAAATCACAGGCAGCATCCGTAGAGATAGCAAGCTAACTTTTTGAGTCCAGATGACTCTTTTCCAGAGCTGACATGAAGTGTGGAGGGGGCAATGTCAGAATGGGAGAATGGCAGAACAGATGCGTCCAACTGCCAAACTGGAAAGAACAGATAGTCCCACGGGGTGGGAGAGAGGATATGGTGACAGAAAATGCAACAAGTAAAGCCAAAAGTAAGGGAAGAAATAGCAGTGAGTTCATAAACCGAAGGTGTTAAACTCAATATTGGGTCCAGAATGGATGGATGCAAGTCCAAAAGATGTGTAGGTTAGATGGATTGGCTATGCTAAATTGCCCACAGTGTCCAGGGATGTGTAGGCTAGGTGGGGTAGTCATGGGAACTGCAGGGTTACAGGGACACGTTAGAGAGGGGATTTGGGTGGGTTGCTCTTCGGAGAGGTGCTGTGGACTCGATGGGCCTACTTCCACACTGAGGGGATTCTACTCTAAGGTGCTCTTTAAAACAAAAGACAACCACCTGACCACAGGAGACAGAAAGAACTGCTGATGCTGGAGTCAGAGATAACACAGTGTGGAGCTGGAGGAACACAGCAGGCCAGGCAGCATCAGAGGAGCAGGAAAGTTGACGTTTCTTCAGAAAAAGAAGGGTCCCGACCCGAAACGTCAGCTTAGGGGTGGCACAGTGGTTAGCACTGCTGCCTCACAGTGCCAGGGACCCGGGTGCAATTCCACCCTCGGGCGACTGTCTGTGTGGAGTTTGCACATTCTCCCAGTGTCTGCGTGGGTTTCCTCCCACAGTCCAAAGATGTGCAGGGTTAGAGTGGATTGGCCATAGGAAATTGCCCATAGGGATGTGTAGATTAGGTGGGTTATAGGGGGATGGGTCTGGGTGGGATGGTCTGAGGGTCGGTGTGGACTTGTTGGGCCGAAGGGCCTGTTTCCACACTGTAGGGATTCTATGATTCCTGCTCCTCTGATGCTGCCTGGCCCTCTGTGCTCCTCCAGCTCCACACTGTGTTATCTCTGACCACCTGCCCATTGCCAGACTGCTCTGTGTGTGTGTGTGAGAGAGAGATCGCGCTTTGCACACCTTGGCCCCGTCCCGGTTCCGTGCCTTGGGAAGGCTGCCAAAACGCCCTGTGGCGGCGGTGAAAGGGCGCTATGGCAACGCAGCACTTCCGGGCAGCCACCTCCCTGTCTCTCACCTGTCGGGCTTTCGCCGCTCCCCGGCCCTTGGGCTCGGCAGGTCTCTTATTCCTGTGCATTTTGTAGGGAAGGAGGGAGGGATGGTGGGTGGTGGGGCCTCTCGCCTCCCTCAGAGCCTCATGATTCACGGAGAGGGCGAAGAAATCAAATCCTTATCCGGCCGTTTATTTAAACCAGGGCCTGGATCAAAGGGCATCACGGCTCCGGCCCGATTAACAATCGCCCACTTCCAAACACTCCATGGAGACGGGGAGTTGTTACTTCTTTTAAAGCCCCAGTCACTAACTCGGAGTTTTAGCCGCTTTCACTCCCCCCCTCCGACGGCTTTACACCTCAGCGTTCAATAACAATCCGACGGCTCTGCCCGCACTGTCGCGCAGACTCCGAGGGCAAGTGCCCGCGGTGTCGCAAAGACGCAAACCGGCACTCGCCCGCACTGTCGCGAAGAAGCCCCCCCGCCGTCGAAAGCCGTCCCTCGCCTGCATGCTGGGGGTTGTAGTGCGCATCGGCGTGGGCGAGACTACAATACCCAGGGGTCGCTGCGCATCGCGCAGGCGTGCTGGCTTTGCCTGAGCAGGCGGGAGAAAGGCTTCCTTCGTGTGAGGAGACAGGTGGGTGGGGGCAGTAAACCTGTCACTGGTTAAGAGAAACGGGTTAATTAGTCGCAATTTTAATCTTGTCACTCGCACTAAAGAAAATGGACTGGTTTTCAAAGAAAAACGAAACCCCTCATGGGTGGGGTCGTCGAGCGATTCATTTTGGGGAGTTGCCCCTTTTATTTCCCCAACTTCCCCACCCCCTCCCGCACATCCACAACCTCCCCCTTTGAGTCAGGAACTCGAGAGGCCTGTGCACAGGATTCAGGCTGACACTCCCTCCAGGTTAAACAGAAACACCGAGGGAGTGTTGTAGTGCCATAGGTACACTCCTCTGGGCTCAGAAGTTGACCCTCTCGCCAGGGCAACAAAGATACCCCCTAAACCACACCTTCCTTTCGAAGTTTATCCCCCTGATCAACCCCCAGAGGCAAAAGGTGCATGACCCCCTCGTTCGTCACCTTGCCATTTGTGGGATCTTGCTGTGTATAAAAGGGCACTGCCATGTTGCATCAAAAAGCATGCCAAGTTGGCATATCTTGCCAAGGATATAATAGAAACTTATCAAAGTCCCACCAGACCACGGGGCCGCTGTCTCATTAGAGAGAGGTGACTGGTAGCAGTTTGATCTGAGAGTCGCCTCACCTCAGACAAAGGGAAAGGTTGAGGAGGAGGGCCCTCAGCTGTTGGCATCACTTTGCATTGCAAACCAGTCATCCAGCCAGCTGAGCTAGCTGACCCCCCTTATGGTAACTGGTCTGGATTTTCCCAGGATTGTCAATCCCAGTCAGATTGCTATTTCACTTTTACTGCTCCTGCGGAAATGCAGTGTGCTTTAGATACAACTGTGTCCTCCTGGTGCAGTCTAGTTGGGAAAGACAGACCATGACACCTTTTTCACAGTAGTTGTCCTATTCTGTGATGGCCACTTTGACAGCTGCTGTGAAATGGCAAGCATATAAAAGTAAGTTTGAGGCTCAGATGCCAGCCAGTTAGAATGCTAGATACATACAGTGTCAAGTGCCACATATATTGGGTGCCAGAGAACAAAGTGAGAAGGGTACCAAGAAAGTGATTGAGTGTTTAAGGGTAGGTAACTGTCTGGCAAGAAATGGGAAAGTGTGTGTCCCAGAGGAAAGGGGGATGTTGGGTCCTGGGGAGGACGCCAGGGTACTGGGGAGGGTGGTGTTGGAGTGTTAGCTGGCTGAGTCCAAGGGTAGGGTTACCATCAACTGCAGCTGAACCCCCCACATCCTCAGATTTAAAAGAATACTTTTGGAGGATTCCAAGCGCAGGTGAGTCACTTTTCAGAATGTTCAATTTCCCAGGCAATTCCCTCAGAGTCTGCTACATCGGGAATTCCACAGGGCCCTGACATGCTACTCTCATCTGGTCTGCAGAAATGACTGTTGGACCATCGGAAAATCCAAGTCAATAAGTTTTCTCCAATTGCAGCATTCCCTCTTGAGTTACACTAGTTTCATTGTTGTTTTTATTCTTTGTGTGTTTCCTCATTTATTGTCGGATAGAATTGAAGGATCATATTTCTTTGGGAGGCCTGTAGCTATTGAGTATGGGAATAAACATTCAGTATAGATGCATCATTAAAGGCAAGATTCAACGTGATAGTTTAAACGTCTCTTGTACTGTTTTTTGGGAGAGGTGGTGTGAAGTAAATTTTGTGATAGAAATGTGTATTTTTACTATGTTTATTGATGTCTGCTTCAGAATATGAGATTGATACTGTAGCAAAATAGGGATAATATTTCACACTACAATTCCAGCTTTTAAATGATTTGATAAAATGGAGCTTATTCTGTGATTTTGTGGATGTGGTATGAGAGCCTGAAATTGAAGTCAAACAACGTAATTATTAGTGAGATAATTATCACAAGATGTTGTGGGTGTCAAGTCTCTCTATAATTGCCTTTAGATTATTATTTCCTGATAATTTTTGCTGCAATTACATTATATGGAGAATAGTTGATGGGAGTATAGGGCAACAGTTTCATTGGTAATATTCACGTGGTGTTGGAAATACTGAGCCTTAAATACTGAAGCCTGAAATGAGAGTATAATCCTGTCTTTCTTATATGGTTTTAGCATTGCTCAAATAGACTGTAATTGTTTCCTCCAATTTCATGCAGCTTCATTTATATAGAGTTTTTACCACAGCACAATATCCTGAGGGGCTTCAAGGGGCACTATCAAAAAAAGACTGCTACTTAGCTAGAGAAGAAGGTCTTAGAACACAGCACCAGAAACTTGGCCAAACAGGTAACGGGGAAGAAAAGCAAAATACTGTGGATTCTGGAAATCTGTAATGAAAAATAAAATGATAGAGAACCTCATCAATCTGGTAGCATCTGTGGAGAGAGGAAACAGAATTAACATTCTGAGTCTATTGTGTCTCTTCTTCGAAACGGTAAAGTTTAAGGTCTGTCTTAAAGAAGCGTTCAGAGTCTAAAGAGTTGAAGGCACAACTGAGGAAGTTGCAGTTGCAGAAGAGATGTACAATGGATCCGCATTTCTGCATAACCATATTTGTCTACCTGCATTGCAGCCAGGACAGTTTTATTTTGCATTGCTGAGATTGATGTGATAATGTGGCGTATGACGAACAAAGCTGTGATCGCGCATCAGCTCTATTCTCGATTTTCCTTTCTGGAATACCTCACCTAATGTCCAGTTATTACCCAGAAGTGTGATGCAGATCACAGAATAATTCATTTTTTGGGGGCACCTCTTGAAGGCTACTTGTTGATTTTTAGGGGCTTCTTGTTGGTTTTTATGGGTGACTTTTTCATTCTCACTAACTCCTTTATTAGGTGATCCAGTCAACCTTCAGTTTTGTGTTGACAAAGCAGAATTAGAAAGATTTATTAATATCCTCATTAATTAAAACAAGTTCATTAAATTTAAAGCCACAACACACAGGTAAAGCGTTCATTGTCTAGATACCACAGTGTTTAAATTGACACCAGGCAGCAGGTATCAGTTAACAATATAAAAGTCATTTTCAAAATAGCTAACATATACTGAAATAAAAACAGAAAGTGCTGAAGAAACTTGGCCAGTCTGGCAGCATCTGGGAAGAGAGAAAGAGAACCAAAGTTTCAAGTCCAATGACTCTTCTTTGGGTTCCAAGAATACTTGCTGAATTTCTCCAGCATTTTTTTATTTCAGACCTCCAGTATCCACAGTACTTTACTCACTTGACAAATTCTGATGCTGTTTTGTAGTTTTGTGGTTTATGATATATGTTAGTCTGCATAATATATACAGCAAGTAGTCTGTTTCTTCTTGAGTTGAATGTTTGAAATTCATTCACAATGAGCTACAAAACGAAGTCAAGTAGAATCGCTGGCAACAATGCATCCCTCCCCGATGAGCCCAATGCATCCTGTGCTCATTTTGAACAGAAGGTCAGTGAAATGATGTCACCTGTCTGATAGCCACAGGTGCACTGTGCCCACAGTCACTGTTGCAGACATCAGATCAGCCTTCTTGACACGACCAATACTCACTCATCTCAATCCACATGGACAAGGAGAACCACGACTTCGACTGGGACAACACCAAGATCCTGGGACATGCTAGGCAGAGACAAGCACGAGAATTCCTGGAAACATGGCACTCCACGAAGCATGCTATTAATAAACACACTGAACTCGACCCCATATACATTCCACTACGAAGGAAAACCGGAAGTGAGGCAATCCATCGCAACGGACCCCAGAGTTTAAAGACCAGGTGGGAAAACACACTGACGCTTCATCGGAGGTTGCACTGAGGATGTTACCAAGCATGGTAACGAAACGTCTGCAAAACAACAAACCAGCTCAGCGAGCCAACCAACCTCAACTCCCACAACCCGAGCTACAGATCTACTCCAAAACCTTAGACTAAACTCATGTCTGGAAGATCTAGATAATAAGGGCACCTACATCAGACTCCTATTTCTTGACTTCCACTCTGCCTTCAACACCATAATTCCAACCAAACTCATCTCCAGACTCAAGAGATCTTGAACTCTGCTTCCCCCCTCTGCAACTGATCTTCAACTTACTGACCTACAGACCTCAATCAATAGGGATGGGTGACAGCACATTCTCCATGATAATCCTCAACATCGGAGCCCCGCAAGGCTGTGTACTCAGCTCCTTACTATACTCCTTATATGCTCGCAACTTGGTGGCCAAATTCAGCTCCAACTCCATTTACAAATTTGCTAATGATGCCACCATAGTGGGTTAGATCTCAAAACAGAGTATAGGAATGCGATAGAGAACTTAGTGGCATGATGTAAAGACAACAGTCTCTTCCACCAGTGTCATCAAAACAAAGGAACTGATCATCAACTTCAGGAAGTGGAATGGAGGATACACCCTTGAGTGTATCAATGGTACTGAGGTGGAGATGGTTGAGAGTGTCAAGTTCCTAGGAGTAAATATCACCAACAATCTGTCCTGATTCGTCAATATCGTTGCTACTGTTAAGAAAGCACACCAACATCTCTACTTCCTCAGAAGGCTGAGGAAATTTGGAATGTCCACAATGATTCTTTCTAGATTTTACAGATGCACCATTGAAAGCACCCTATCCGCATGCATTACAGCTTGGTATGGCAACTGCTCTGTCCAAGACTGCAGGAATTTACAGAGAGTTATGAGCACAGCCCAGTTCAACACAAAAACCAGCCTTCCATCCATTGACTCCATCTATATTTTCCGCTGCCTGGGAAAGCAAGCAACGTAATCAAAGACCCCTCCCACTCCGATTACATCTCTTCCACCTTCTTCCATTGGGCAAAAGATGCAAAAGTTTGAAAACATGTATCAACAGATCCATGAACAGCTTCTTCCCTGCTGTTATCAGACTTATGCACAGACCTCTCATATAGAGTCATGCAGCAGAGAAACAAACCCTTTGGTCCAACTCATCTGCGACAACCAGACATCCCAATCTGACCCAGTCCCATTAGCCAGCCTTTGGCCCATTTCCCTCTAAATCCT